GTATGGCTGGGTGAACAGCACAGAGCTGGTGATCCTCCGTCACAGGCAAAATATTAATGCGCTGGCAACCAAACTGGCATCATCAAAAAGGTTCAAGAACCAGCAGAAATACGACGCCTTCTGTTATGATGCTAACAGGTTTGATTTGTTCAACGTAGGGTATGTTTTGGTCAATGCGTGGATCAACTATATTTTTAAACAAAAACGTTATATTTTAAACAGATTTGTCAGTGAAGAACTGTACAGCTGAGATTAACCCTGAAAGTTCAAAAAAAGCAAATGCCAACCCTACCACAGCATCTACAGGTATGAACACCTTTCAGCAGCTATGAATACATTTCGAATGAAGACACTTTTATCTGAAAGATCTTATACATGTTTTTTTAGCTTTTCCCCTTATCACATGTTTTTTGTAAATCATCATAAGTGAGGTATTATTAATACTTTAACACTTAAAAATTCATCTGTGAAAACACTTTTGATAGTTGACATGTAGTTACAAAGATACTTAAAGTTGAATCCATTGAAATTATTGGTTACTTTTGTTTTGTTCTGCATAATTTTTTTAATAAAGTGATAAGCTGCAGTACTGTTTTGGCATATTCAACATTGATAAAGCATGAGTGACATTAAATATACATACACAAAATAATATGAAAATAATTTCAACACTGTAAAAAAAATATTTTCATGATTAGTAATCACAACATTTTTTCTTTTGTCAAATCAAATTTATTTAGTTCAGATAACATATCATTTTGAGTTTCTGATGATTAAATTATTCTCCTTCATTGCATTAACTCACTTTTTCCATTTCAATGAACTTGACCCAGATAGCAAACTGACATTGAATCAACGTGGAAACATGACATCGAAACAACGTTGATCTGACATTGTTTTGCTCATCGAATTAACGTTGAACCAACGTCAGACGCGTCATTCTTTCAAAACTAACGGAAAATCAACTTGAAATCAACGTTGTTTCAACGTTATGAATCGATTTTCATTTAGCTTTGAAGAATGCCGCGTCTGACGTTGGTTCAACGTTAATTCGATGAGCAAAATCAACGTTGTTTCAATGTCATGAGAGACGTCGTTTCCACGTTGATTCAATGTCAGTTTGCTGTCTGGGAAATTTTAAGGCAACCAGGTTACTTACTTTTTTAAGTTAAACCAACAATATTTTTTTACAGTGAAAGTAAATATTTGAATGAGTAATGACATTTGTTTGTTTTAGCGTTGTGTGTTATTTACTGTGCACTGGATGGGGCTGTCCTGCTTTTAAAGTGTGTTGAATAGTCAGCAACACGATTACAGAATATCTCATATTTCTGCAGTCAATAACACTAGTTGTCTAATTAAATCTGAGTAAATATCAGTAAGATTACTTACTGACAGCAGGTTGAAAATTTGTCAAAAAAGGACCAATCAATGTTTGGTGTGTATATACTAAATTCTGCATAATTGTACATTTACAGATGTCACAACACACCAACACAATACTGGAGCGGAAGACAATGAAACTTCAACATTTGAAACTTCAGGAGATACATCGGTGTCTACTCCAGGACACTGGACACAGACCAGTGGCGAACTGAGCACAGCGGACCACAATGAGACCAACCAGACGCATGATCCAGACCATACAGAGGAGTCCACAAGCTTACTACCTAATGCAGACACCACAGGGACGGCAGTGGGCGAGAGAACGTCCAGGCATGAAACAACAACAGCTTATAAAACAGGTGAAAGTTCATGATTGAAATGGTTCTTCTGTTGCAACCTCTCATTTTATAAGAATTGTTTCCGTCTCTGATTTCTGACGTGCTGTAATGTGTCTTCATCACTCCAGGACATGTCAGCCCAAATGACCGTTCTTCAGAGTCAGATGTGACCAGATCATCAGGTTAGAAAGCTCTTTATAATATAAATCATGCCCGAATCATTTGTATTTGTCACTGTCCTACCAGCAGTCCTGAGCGCTTGATCAGCTTGTTTCCGTGTTCGGTTGGGCTGAACTCAGCAGGACTGATCCCTACGGTGGCCCAGAGAGCTCAACGCGCCGCAACTGAAGAAAACACATGCAAATTAAGAAAATATCTTTATCAGTTTTACAGCGTACCATCAGCTCGTGTGTGTATTTGGTTGTGTTGTGAGTATTTGGAGCACTGATAGAGATGGTTTCTCTATTTGCATGTGTTTTCTTCAGTTGCAGTGTGTTAAGCTCTCTGGGCCACCGTAGATCTCCCCACATAGCAAAAATTTTCTGGCCCAGCTCCGGCCCACACAATCACTTTTCCCTCGGCCCAAATACCGCAAAGAATGACGGTACTGAAGTGGCCCAGAACTGGATTATAGACAAGGGTCACACATGGGCCATAACTGGCCCGAATCTCAGCCAGTTAATCACCCTTAACTGGCCCTGAACTGGGCCAAAACAGGTTTTATTATTTGTACCAATTCTCAGCCATAAGTTAACCATATCGACACCACTCTTTAACCAGAAACCCCAAAACTGAGCCATAACCCAGCCTAATCTTACACAAACCATGTGAACCCAATCCTCGGCCCAAGTACCGCAAAGAATGACGGCGCTGAGGTGGCCCAGAACTGGATTAAAGACAAGGGTCACACATGGGCCATAACTGGCCCGAATCTCAGCCAGTTAATCACCCTTAACTGGCCCTGAATTGGGCCAAAACAGGTTTTATTATTGGTACCAATTCTCAGCCATAAGTTAACCATATCGACACCACTCTTTAACCAGAAACCCCAAAACTGAGCCATAACCCAGCCTAATCTTACCCAAACCATGTGAACCCAATCCTCGGCCCAAGTACCGCAAAGAATGACGGCGCTGAAGTGGCCCAGAACTGGATTAAAGACAAGGGTCACACATGGGCCATAACTGGCCCGAATCTCAGCCAGTTAATCACCCTTAACTAGCCCTGAACTGGGCCAAAACTGGTTTTATTATTGGTACCAATTCTAAGCTAACCATTTCAATACCACCCTTTCAAACCCCCAAACTGAACCATATCCCACCCTAACCTTACCCAAACCATGTGAACAAATAAGTCACAGAAAAATTCTATATTTTATTCAATTTAAATTTTATTTAACAATAATACCACAAATAAATATTACACCTAGAATTGTGTAACAGTGTGAAGGCTATTTTATTTTGTACATTCCAAGTGTAACATCTTATTACAACCTGTAAAAGCCCTTCTTCTCACATTGCTCCTTTCATTGTAACTCCAATTACCAGCCAAACCAACAGTCTGTCAAGTTTTCTTGCCCAACCAGTCCTGTAAAAAAAAAAAAATTAACATTGAAAATGCATCAACTATTCCAAATTTACCAATATAGGATACTAATGTAGCTCTAAAACTCATTTGTATTAATCATCTTGTTAGATCATGGAAAGTGAGTGCCTTAGGCCAGAGTTTCAACTCCTTATAGTCTTTAGAAATAAAATAACATCCACTTAAACAGACAGGAATGGGGGAGCAACTTACATATCATCAAAACTTAAACAATATGAAAGGAGGGGGAAAAGACAACTTTATAGAGTCGTTCATTCCTTATAATGCCCAATATGTTGAAAGAAAAACATTGGCATGCGTCAATGGTTAGCAAATTGAAAAGTTGCCAATTGTTTATTGCATTTAAATTAACCTCTAAACATTACCCAGGTTGAGAACTATTGTTTTAGACAAAAAATAAGAATTATGTGTTCAATTTCATTCTTTCAATGTAGATATTTTAATAGTACAGTATTATTATTTTCTCTCAATCGCCTACGAATATAGCATACTGAAATGACAAGCAATACATGACAAGCAAAAATAAATAAGCAGTCTGTGATCACAAATAAAAAAAACATGTACTGTTCATGTGAAACAAGCCACGATTAGATTTAGATCTCATACAATTATTCAACCACTGAATCACTTTCAGCTTTATAAGTCAATTGCGGTTGCTGGATTTGCTGTGATCTTCCTATAATTTTAAAAGCATTAACATTACATTGTTTCGCACACATGAAGCACCACGCCTCGCCTAGGACGTTCCGCACCGGTCTATCGCACATGATCGCACCCCGTTCGCGTCTGTATAGGCATTCTCATGTTCAGGGGCAACTGAATCAGCTACCAGGCAAAAGTTCACTTCAATAAAGAAAAAAGTGGCATCCGAGTTTGAAATCAGGTATTAAAAAAGCGCCAAAAAGAGAGTGAACTTCACTTACCCGTACAGCGGTTGTCTGAGATGTCGTCTTCTTCTTCAATCTTCAGCGGGAGAAATTTCAAAAGACGCATCACGTGAACCAACCAGAAAAGCTGCTGTTACCATGGAGATCGCGCCGAAATAAAACAATAGTTGACTGCTGTTTTAAATAAACTGTTATTTCGGAAAAAAAATCCAGATATTACATTTTTAACATGATTTTGTGGTGCTTAAAATAAAAAGTATGGAAAACTTAGACTTGGATGTGGATTTTTTTTTTTTTTTGTTTTTTTTGTTTTTTGTTTTGTTTTTTTTATTACAAATTTATAAAAAAAAAACAAATTCAAATAAATAATAGGTTTAATACTTAAAAAAATCATAGGTCTAATACTTATCATGTTAGTAAATGTATATTTTTTAATGATACAGCATTTTGTAAACATTGCTGAAAACTAAATACTATATTTATTCATTATTAATCATTTTTTAAACAATTGGACATATATTTTTTCACTGACTCATTTAAGTCAATTTATATTATTATTATTAAGTTGGCTTGAGAAAGCCAACTTACTGAAATCCTATTTAAACTTATTATTATTAAGTTGGCTTGAGAAAGCCAACTTACTGAAATCCTATTTAAACTTATTATTATTATTATTAAGTTGGCTTGAGAAAGCCAACTTACTGAAATCCTATTTAAACTTATTAAGTTGGCTTGAGAAAGCCAACTTACTGAAATCCTATTTAAACTTATTATTATTATTATTATTATTATTATTCTTACTCAAAATTTTCTGACTGCTACTCCTCCTAGAGCTTTAACTCTACAAACTCCAAACTCGGGTCAGACCTTCAGACTGTTCTGACTCGAGTTGCTATATCTTTTTAGACTGATTCGACTTTCAGATTTCTTAAAAATTAATATTAAAAATCATAAAAATCCCATTGACTTTCATTGCAGCATGGTCAAATTGAGCCAAGACTACGGTGGCCCAATAGCGTACAGCAAAAACTCAAATCTAAATTCCCTGAAGCCCTAGACTCAATTAAACTACCATTCTATATGAACTAATGAACTTATCTATCTATCTATCTATCTATCTATCTATCTTTCTAACAAATCTATCCATCTTTCTTTCTACTTAACTAATCTATCCATCTTTCTTTCTAACAAATCTATCCATCTTTCTTTCTAACAAATCTATCCATCTTTCTTTCTAACAAATCTATCCATCTTTCTTTCTAACTAATCTATCCATCTTTCTTTCTACCTAACTAATCTATCCATCTTTCTTTCTACCTAACTAATCTATCTATCCATCTTTCTTTCTAACAAATCTATCCATCTTTCTTTCTACCTAATCTATCCATCTTTCTTTCTACCTAACTAATCTATCCATCTTTCTTTCTAACAAATCTATCCATCTTTCTTTCTAACTAATCTATCCATCTTTCTTTCTAACTAATCTATCCATCTTTCTTTCTAACTAATCTATCCATCTTTCTTTCTAACAAATCTATCCATCTTTCTTTCTACCTAACTAATCTATCCATCTTTCTTTCTACCTAACTAATCTATCCATCTTTCTTTCTAACAAATCTATCCATCTTTCTTTCTACCTAATCTATCCATCTTTCTTTCTAACAAATCTATCCATCTTTCTTTCTACTTAACTAATCTATCCATCTTTCTTTCTACCTAACTAATCTATCCATATTTCTTTCTAACAAATCTATCCATCTTTCTTTCTACCTAATCTATCCATCTTTCTTTCTAACAAATCTATCCATCTTTCTTTCTAACAAATCTATCCATCTTTCTTTCTAACTAATCTATCCATCTTTCTTTCTAACAAATCTATCCATCTTTATTTCTACCTAATCTATCCATCTTTCTTTCTACCTAACGAATCTACCAATCTTTCTTTCTAACAAATCTATCCATCTTTCTTTCTACCTAACTAATCTATCCATTTTTCTTTCTAACTAATCTATCCATCTTTCTTTCTAACAAATCTATCCATCTTTCTTTCTACCTAATCTATCCATCTTTCTTTCTACCTAATCTATCCATCTTTCTTTCTACCTAACTAATCTATCCATCTTTCTTTCTAACTAATCTATCCATCTTTCTTTCTAACAAATCTATCCATCTTTCTTTCTACCTAATCTATCCATCTTTCTTTCTACCTAACTAATCTATCCATCTTTCTTTCTAACAAATCTATCCATCTTTCTTTCTAGCAAATCTATCCATCTTTTTTTCTAACTAATCTATCCATCTTTCTTTCTAACTAATCTATCCATCTTTCTTTCTAACTAATCTATCCATCTTTCTTTCTAACAAATCTATCCATCTTTCTTTCTAGCAAATCTATCCATCTTTCTTTCTAACTAATCTATCCATCTTTCTTTCTAACAAATCTATCCATCTTTCTTTCTAACTAATCTATCCATCTTTCTTTCTTACTAATCTATCCATCTTTCTTTCTAACTAATCTATCCATCTTTCTTTCTAAATAATCTATCGTTCTTTCTTTCTAACAAATCTATCGTTCTTTCTTTCTACCTAACTAATCTATCCATCTTTCTTTCTAACAATTCTATCCATCTTTCTTTCTAACAAATCTATCCATCTTTCTTTCTAACTAATCTATCCATCTTTCTTTCTAACAAATCTATCGTTCTTTCTTTCT